AACCCTAAACCCTAAACCGTATTGCGCCAACAGTGGCTTCAGGCATACGGCCGGTAGACATCTCATACCCTGAGCAGAACACGGAGCAGCAGGCCTTGCAAAGTTCCTGAACCACCTGGGAGTTTCCGAAAATTAGGGGTACCTTATTGTGGGGTCCTTATAATAAGGATCCCATGATTTAGGGTACTATATGAGGGTCCCCTATTTTCGGAAACCCCCACCTTGAGCCCATGCATATTCCCACGTCTTGTTCTTGCTTGTCGCAACTATTAGCTCACTTGATGCCATGGCGTCTCCATCCCCGGACCGTTCCAGACTCCTGGCTCACATTTACATGCGCGGACCTTCCCCGCTGAACCAAAGCCCTGGATCCTAAAGACGCAAAGGGCGACCTCACTTCAGTCAATTTAATGTATGCGCATGCTGTGAAAATCGAGGGTCCTGTTGAGTAGCGATGATACTGAGGGTAATTGTGATGATGGTTGGTGCGATGGCGCTGATGATGCTGAAAGGCACGGTGCGATCCTTGTTACTGTATGACGAAGAAACGGGTTGGTAGTTCGGAAGGACATGATGGTGAGCACGTCGCTCACTGTCACGAGGGTTGTGACGATACTTCCTGAGATTCTGACGACGATTGAGGTTAGTTACTTTGGTTATGGCAAAAGTCATGATGATCAGGCGATTGTGGGGAAAGGTCGGTGGTGGTGGTGGTGGCTGTGGTGGTCGTGGTCGTCGGTCGTCGTAGTAGCAGCAGCAGCATCAGCAATTAACGCAGTATTCGGACTACCACTGCTGTCTGTCACGGTCTTGGATGCAGGGAAGCCTCTCTTTCAAAAGCAAGACTAAACCCTAAACCCTAAACCCTAAACCCTAAACCCTAAACCCTAAACCCCTAAAACCTTTCATTTGAAGGAATCATGGAAGGCCTTCGCTCCAAAATCCTTCCCCGAGGCAGCCGGGGCTTGATCTTTCGGTGATTCTTTGGGGATGTTGGGTAGTCCGTCGGTACCTACTGTTACTATGTTTTGCTCTTTTACTAGTAGCAATAGTATTCTTCTTCTGATTACGACTATGCTTATGTTTATGATCATGGATATTCTGATTCTTATTACCGCTGTGATCATGACTTTTTGTGCTTGTGTTTATTGTTGTGTGTATAATTCATATGAGTGAGCTCTGACTTAAACTTTTTCGCAGCCGTTAGAATAACGCAGAAGCTTGAAGCCTGAATAACTACTACCAGCACTCCTCAAACCCTAAACCCTAAACCCTAAACCCTAAACCCACCACCCTAAACCCTAAACCCTGGACCCTAATCCCTAAACCCTAAACCCTAAACCCTAGACCCTGAACCCTGAACCCTGAACCCTGAACCCTAAACCTTAGGAGTCTTGTTGCTCGCTAGGATTCCTTTTCACTCCTTGAGATTCATTACTACTCCTTTTGGGATTCCTTATTGCAATCATGGTATATTATGCCACAACCCAAAGCCCTGTGAAACCTCTTCCAGCATTCATTCTTCCGTGATTTAGAAACCCATGCAGCTTGTCCAAAGCACCCTTCATCCCAAACCCTCACCGCACAAAAGCCCTGCAGATAATCCCGGAAAGTTGGAACATGGTTTTAGGAGGATTCGTGCTAGAATCCCTGATGCTTTAGCTTCAGGGCATGAGGATAATCATGTTGCAACTTTCTGGCTTCTATCCTGAATCCCAAACCCTGAACCCACCCACTGTCGCCAGTAGGCAAGGACATCTGCAGGCGGGCAAACGTGCTTTTCGAAAAGGAACTCACCCAAACCCGACACCCTACACCCAAAACCCTAAACCCTAAAACCCTAAACCCTTAACCCAAAATCCTAAACCCTAAAACCCTAAACCCCTGAAGCCCTAAACCCTGAACCCAAAACCCTAAACCCTAAGCCTAAACACGCTCTTACGACCCTTTGCTCTTACGTCTGCTTGGGGAGGCTCGTTGGCGCGACAGAGGCGACAGATGCCGATCGATGGGGAGGCTGGGTAAGGGCTCGGTTTATGGTGTTGGGGGTTTAGGGAGTTTAGGGGGTTTAGGGTTTAGGGGTTTAGGGTTTAGAGTTTAGGGGTTTTGGGGTTTAGGGTCTAGGGGTTTAGGGTTCAGGGGATTAGGGTTTTAGGGTTTTTGGGGTTTGGGCTGTAGGGGTTTAGGGTTTAGGGGATTAGGGTTTTAGGGGTTTAGGGGTTTGGGGTTTAGGGTTTCGGGTTTAGGGGTTTAGGGTTTTACGGGCTTTGGGTGTGAGTTGTCGCTTCGGGTTCAAGGTTTATGGGTTTGGGGCTTGCAGTTCGGGGTTTAAGGTTTCGATCCTTCAGCTAACACCGTGGCCTTATGACAGTTAGAAGAGGGTCTTCTGGGTGTATATATATATATACTTTGATCATATTGCTTACTGTTTCCTTTTAGGCTTTGATTAACCAAGCAGCCCGCCAAGGCATAGTTTGCGAGTCGCATCGAGCTGCTTTTGTTCCCATGCTCACCTTCGGTGGCACGAGTAATGCAGGGCCAGAGTTATTAGTAAGAGTGTCTCCTGAAAGCCCCCTATAATTCCGCTCGCAGCATAAAGGACCCCAACCCTATGGACATTGTTCAAACCCTCAAAAGCCCCAAAACCTTCAAAACCCTAAACCCCTTGAAATCCCTGGTAGAAGTCCCAAAGGAGCCGAAGATTCGGAGGTGCGGGCCCTTTTGCTCGTCTAGTTGCAGTGTCGAACGCGCAGAATCAAGTCCCCGAAATTGAACCTCCCAACCACTTCTGGCGATACCATAATGTTAGAAAAAATAAATGAATAAATAAATGAATAAATAAATAAATACATAAATGTATATAAATAAATAATTAAATGAATAAATAAATAAATAAATATAAATATAAATATATATATATATATATATATATATTGAATGTCAGAATAAAATGATACACTGCTACAAAGAATATGCCCCCAAAACCCTCATAGGCACTTAGCCTCACTAAATCCATGGCCAGGAGCACTCCCTCACTGGGGAAGAGTTGGTTGAGAAGTTGCCATGGCTGTCAAAGGGGCTTTAGGGCTGTTTGGGACTTAGAGCTTAAGGGGTTTAGGTTGAGGAGCGTGGGAATTTCCAGGGTTCTTGCGTTACGTGAAAGAGAATTGGTTTCAGCATGCCAGCGGAGGCGCACCCGGAATACTCCATGCTCCTCTGTCGCGGTGCATGATTTGCACTAGTGCCCCATTCTTGACACAGTCCCGGTGCTCCGAAAGCGCGTCAACGCACTGGCTTTGTTTTCGA